ACCCGGCCCCGGATAAAGCGGATGAAGATGGATGGATGGATGGATTAACCTGTAGTTCATTATCAGAAATGTCCAAACTCTATTGAAACACTAACCAGTAAAGTGTCGATGACTGTCATCTGTGTATCCAGAGCTGAGGCACTCTTTAGTGGAGCAGACGGTCTCACCAGCGAAGCAGTAACAGTTGTGGCAGTCGGTCTTGAAAGACGTCCCATGGCCTGTCGGTAACACATATCAACCAAAAACATGTTATAAAGTTGCTGAACTGAATGTGCAAGATTCATCGCTCGGATTTCACAGTGTAACCACAACCAGGAGTTCAGTTACATTAATAGTGTATCTGTAGTACCCATTGCTTCATTACTGTACTTTAGCAGAATTTTCAGGTATGTGTACTTCAGTAGTTCTGATAACTTTGTACTTTTACTTCCTACATTTTCAAACAAATATATGTACTTTCTAGTCCTTACATTTTCAAAACAGGCTGGTTACCTCAGGTTTAATGAATTCTAAGTTATTATTTTGTCACTGTGGGCCTTCATACATCGAACCGATTTGAGCCTAAACACCAGGGGATGTTGCATGAAAAGAGATGACATGTGCCAAAGCCAGGGGTTAAAGTGGCAGTGTAGCTAGCCCTACAGAAGACAAGCATAAAGCGACTGATGCTTTTTAAGTAGCAGGTCATTTCAAATGCAGCCTTTCTATCAGCAAACACACAAACTGTTTGTGTTGTCTTGAGAGAAGAATGAGGGCTAACTTCACTCATAATAAACTATAAATGCAAAGATTGCATATAAGCCCTTGTTTTTAAATGAGATATTGGGTCTGTACATGTGACACTGATTTGTTTTCACAATATGAAAAAGCTCAAACTGAGGCAGACTAACTGTGTTATGAACATCCTCTGCAGGTTAGTGTCAGATAAACAGGTTAGTTCGCTGCACTGTGATGGGTTCAAATTAAAGAACAGTGGCTGCGGGTTCATGGTCACAGTTAGCGTACATCATGTGCAGCAGAGATTCATATACACTTTAGCTGATGATGCTGATATTCATTCACTGAATTCCACCTTCATACCAACTTTATATGAACTAGAAAAAAGACAGGATAAACAGTGTACTGTGAGTGTACTGTGACCAGGTGTGCCATGGAAGACTATCTGGGTCCACCTGATTAGATTAGTTTACTGGCATGAGTCACGGGAGGACAGTACATAGCAATAGATAAATATGTGAAAACATATGTGAAGTCAGTCTGACCTTGGTCCTGGAGAAAACTCCGAGCTAGATGAAGCATGAGCAGTGGTCAGGAGAAAACACAAAAGGTACGCTGGGGACAAACTGAGCCAATTCTGCTCTGCCTGTTATGCAGGGAAATCTTATCAATGTCCTTTTTGTGATATTTGTGTTTGGTGGTGTGCCGTGGGATTTTTGTAATGTGAAATATCTACTGTGGCTCCAAAAGGTTGAAAAACACTGGCGTAGAGGATGAACTCATGAACCATCTGCTTACACCTTGTTGAATTCAGGTGTACATCCACAGAGAGCAGCTGATCACAGCCTGTACACTAACATAATCTACTGGAGCTCTTAATAAAAATGATTGTGACTTATGATTCTTTCCCCACCTGGTGAATGTAATTTTCCTTCTCTTTCTTCTGATTAAAGCTGAATCATTACGATAACACTGTGAGGCTCAGTTAGCTTCAAATGTCCTCCAAAGCTTATTTTTTGCTTTCTTACACTGAGTATATTTCAGAGTC